TTTAGATTTTATCATCATTCTGCTTATTTGATCTGATTTTAAAGCAGAATTTAATAGGACTAATATGAAGTGGTGTGGTTGCGTCTTGTTGCTAATATAAGCCTGGTTAAAAAGGCTTTTCTCAGTGAACAAAACGAGAGCATTGGTTGATAGAATACAGCTTTTGCCTGATCCAATTTTTTTTATTTGACACTGACATGTATTGGTATTTGACACAAGTTAACATTAATTTCTGCTGTTGCCTAATAGGCTGAAGCGTAAAAGGAGAAAGATGAGGCAGAGGTCCAAGTAAGCCCTCATCAGGACCAGCTGTCAGAGCGTCTCCAGGTGACTGGCACTCGAGGCTGAAGTGGATGAAGTGACGCCAGCATCGGCAGAAACAACCTGTGCTTGTAGATGACTGCTCATTTCACTGAGACAGCTGTGAATGTCTGACCGACAGACAGGAACGACACTGGACAGATCTATCAACATCTGATAATGGCAGCGGTTGTGTTCGTGGACCATACTGCATTTTAACCAACAACTGTCATTGGAAAATAAAACACTTAAAAAAACCATCTTTGTCTGTTTGCTGTAATTATGTCATGGTATGTTTGCACAACTCAAGTAGCACAGCTTTGAAGAACAACTAAAACATTGGGATTATTATTGGCAGGTTGACCATTACCAGGTTATCATTAGCTAATACACATGAATGGTTTTAATTACTAATTAAGTTGGAACAAAACAATCTGTGGGCTGTATATTGGGGTCATCAAAGTTAGTACATAATTATATATAATCAGCTTTGAGACCTTGACACTACCTCATCTGTCATAACAACCTCACCTGTAACCATACAAAATCAAAGGAACTTCCCTTTGTTGTCATCTGATGTCATGACTGTGCCTCTTCTTTGGTCTTTGTTGTTTTATGGCAGTATCAGGAGAATAGGAAGTGATGAGAAAAGTAGCAGGAATAAAAAGAAACCGATCGATGAACTACTGCATGTTTGATTCTAAAAGTAGGCAGTAATGTGACGTTGTGGGTGTCTACCACCGTTTAGTACTTTTACTGAAGGTGGCATCCTAAATGTTGCATTACTGTCCATTCTGTCTCAATTCACATTTGAGAAGATTTTTTTTTTGTCATGAATAAATCGATAATCATCTCCAGCCGGCACAGCAGGAAATATTTATGACAAAGTGTAGAATAACAGATAAAAATACAACATCCAAAATGAACAGCATGTTCATGCGAAGAGTCGATGTTTTCGAGGTCAGTGACAGTAGCCCTGAAGACTACAACGTCAGGGAAATAACAGTCACTGACACCTCTTTAGGATGCCTGAAGGAGGAGAATTTACTCTTGAGGAAGAAAGAATACATTTTACGGAACATGTCCAAACTTGAAGACCTGGAAATACTGCAGAGAGAAAATGATGATCTGTTAGACAGAGTAAATCAACTGCAGCATTCAGAGGACTTTTTGAAATGTAGTATAAAACAGATTGAGAGTGCCCTTCTTCAATACGAAAGTGAGAATATAGATCTGTCTGCAAAGGAACGTGAACTTGAAAATCTTTCAAAGGTGAAACAAAGAGAGATCGAGAACCTGAGAGCACAGGTGGGTTATCTCCGGTCTCAGGTAGACAAGGCTCACGAGGCGCTCACAGATAAAGATGAGGAAATACAACAACGGGCATCTCAAAAACAGGTGGAGCTCAAGACCCTGAAAAAGGAACTGATAAGTCTCCAGAAACATGAAGTCAACCTTAATAAGGAGAACACACTGCTCACGGTCGAGCTGACTGAAGTGAAGAGTGTCTTACAGGAACTGTCCAAAGACAATAATGAACTCAAGGCAGCTGTGCAAGATCTTCAGGACCAAGTGATGAAAGATCAGAAAATTATAACGGAGCAAAATATGGAAATTTCCGACAATCGACAAATTATGGAGGAGCGTTATGAAATAATTAGTGATTTGAAAAGGTCTCTTGCCGATCTCAAGAGCCAGCAGGAGACGAGGCAGGAGGAGGAGATGCTGACATTACAGGCAGAACTACATAGTAGTCTTGCTCAGGAGCATGACGTGCTGCGGACTTCATCGGAAGAATCTCAGCAGCTGGAGGCTCAAAGAGAGATTGAGAACCTGAGAGAGCAGGTATGCTGTCTTCAGTCTCAAGTTGACAAGGCCCTCGATGCCCTCACATTTAAAGACAAGGAGAAATCGGGTCTGTCGAGTCAGTCGGAGGCAGAAATGATTGGATTTCAAAATCAAGAGGAGGTTTTGTGTGAACAGATAGTAATGATTACAGGCGATCTTACTGAAGTCAAGACTGTCCTACAGAAACTGTACAAAGACAACAATGACCTTAAAGTAGCTGTGCAAGATTTTAAGAGCCACGTAATGAAATCTCTGGAATTCATAATGCAGCAAACCATTGTAATTGCAGAGAAATGGCAAATTATGGAGGAACGTTATGAACTGATCAATGATTTAAGAAAGTCACTGACTGATCTGAAGAGTCAGCAGATGTTGAAACAGGAAGAGATGTTAAAGTCATTAAAGGCAGAAATACTGCAAAGTTGTGCACTGGACCATCAGCAGTCGGAGGGTCCCATCAAAGAATCAAATGAGCTGCAGGCTGATGTAGAACATCGTGAACATCTGAATGCTTTAGTCGGGCAGGATAAAAAGGTGAAGGCTCACACTGAAGGGCTTAAGAAGTTTTTTGATCCTCGTGAGCAAAACAGGCCAGTGGAAATTTTTAGAAAAGAGCCTGAAAAGCAGGAGTCTATTTTAGAGCAATATTCAGAGCTGGAGATTTCCAATCAATGGCTAAAGGGTCTAGAAACCACCATCAAATTGCCTGAGGAGCTGATAGATACCTCAAAACTAACTATGCAGCCGATGGTTCTTTCAGAAAAATATACAGAACCAGGGGCCACCATAGCAGAGCCAAACAAGCAAGCAGATCTTTCAAAAAAGCCCCAAAAGCTTAATGCTCATGTGAAGTCCAAGAAGTTGATAACTCAGGCAAAACAGTCTGATAAACTGAGAACTTCTGCAGAGGAGCCCAGAAGGTGTGAGATTATTGCAAAGGTAGCTGAGGAACTGAAAACTCCTTTAAAGGCTGAAGTGAATCGATCAGAGATGTTCACGGACCCAGCAGATTCCCCAGAGAAGTCTCAGCACATTAAAGTCCCTGCAAAGGTATCCAAGATAGATTCTACAAAGGAGACTAAGGAGTCTGGAGGTTTTGTAAAGCAATGTAAGAAAAGAATGTCTACAACAGAGAAAGGAAAAAGGACAAGATCAAGTCCCTCACCAAAAAAGATGCCTGTAGGAATTCCTGTAAGGACTTCTACAGAAGGGTCTAATATTCCATTAGATCCCAAGAAAGTTATCAAAGGCCATGTGGATCCTCTTAAGGAGGTGGAGGTCACAACTGAAAAGCAAATGGATCCTAGAATTACCTCAAAACATTTTACAAAATCAGTCTCTCCAGTGCAGAAAGGTTTACAGCTGCAGGTCACCTCTGAGAAAAAGACACCGCTGGTGATTTCTGCAGAGATTTCCAAACAAGGACCAAGGGAACAGCTGACGGCTCCCTCACTAGAACATCAGAAATGGAAGGCTACCATAGAAGAGCCAAAGAACCAAGAGGCACATGGAAAACAGCATGAAAAATCCTGCCTCACTAGAACATCAGAAATGGAAGGCACATGAAAAACAGCATGAACAATCCCATGTGCTAAAGGTCTGTGAGGATCCCACTCCAGAGAGGGCTGAGAACCTGAGGACACCCTTACTAGAACACTCGGAACTTCCCACAGAACATTCTATGAACTTTAATATACACCGATCACCTGCTAAACAGAATAAGAAACAAACTATTGCACCAAAACAGCCTGAGAATTTAAATGTTCCACTACAGGCCAAGGTGGACGGTGCTGTAGAAAAGTTAGAAGAACTGGTGGATCTAGCAAATAACAAAGAGAAGTTTAAGGCTCTTGCAGAAGAAAATAAGCCGATAGAAAAAGGTAAAGGGCTTGAGCCGAGTGTAGGTAAAGCCAAGGCACTGGTAAAGCCCACAAAGAAATCCCTGGAGTTTCACGGAGGGGTTCCTAAGCAGTACAAGAGCCCCTTGAGGGACTTCAGCAAGCTGGAGACTCACATAGATGGTGAAGAAAAAGTGGTAGGTCCTGCAGAAGAACTGAAGAAGTTAAATCGCTTTGCTGAAGACTTAAAGCACCAGGTAAAACACCAGGAGCTTGAGATTCCTTTAAAAGGAAGAACTGAGCTGGCAAACTCAACTGAAGAATTTGAAATTTCCCAAGGAGAGTCTGAGCAACTGAGGGCTCTTTCAGAAAACTCTGGCGAGATGAACACTTCCACCGAGAGCCTAATGAAGCTGCTGGAGGAGCATAAGAAACCAGATGATTACGAAGACAGACAAAAGTGGCAAGGTAAACGTACAAAACAGAATAAGCAGCCTGAGAATAGCATTAAGAAGACAGGAGAGTTAGAACCACCGACAGGAGGACCGGAGGAACTGAAGGGTCAGACAGACCTACTCAAGAAACTGGACGTACCTGCAGAAAGGCCTAAGCAACCAAAGTCTGAGGAGATTGAAACCCAAATCCTGGATGTTACAAAAAGGCAAAATGAGTTAGTCGACACCCTAGTAGAGAGTAGGCAGTTTAGAACTCTCAAAGATTTGGAGCAGCTGAAAACGCCAGAGGAACCTAACGATCCTGCCAAAAGAACCAAGGAAAATGTTTCAGATTCATTTAAGGTAGAAATACTTATCAGTTATCCACAAGAGCATCAGCCACAAGGGGAATCTATCAATGAGTCGAGGGAGGTGGATCTACCCGGAAAACATCATATAGAATTAAAGACGCCTTTAAAAACAAACGAAAAGCTCGAGGACATTGCAGAAAAGACTAAGCATCAGAAAAGCACTGCAGAAGACTTCAAGGAGCCGATGGATACAGTCCAAGACCCCATGGAGAGTCACAGAGAGGAGCCTGAGAAGGTCAAAGTTCAAGCAGAGAAGCATATGACTCTTGATGTTCGAGTAGAGTGTCCCAAAGATCAGGGGCATTTTGCGAAGGAGCCTCAAAAGTCCAAGACTTTCAGACCAAAGCCTGGTCCACAGGTGGAAAAGTCCAAGACTTTCAGACCAAAGCCGGTGATCCTTGAAGAAGAGCTCGGAGAGTTTCTGGCTCCTGCTGGAGAATTACAGTGGCTACCTCAGACGGAAAAGGCTCATGAAGTGCTCCCACATGTGGAAGTAGAAGCACGACGGTGGAACAATGAATCAAAGACGCAGGTCAGGACCTTGACTAAAACAATGATTGTTCCTCAGGAATCTGAAGAGTTTCCAAAAGAGCAGGATAACAGGCGAACAGCGGTGCTGACCGAAGTAAAGACTGTGTTTGTTCAGAAAATAAACAAAGACAACAGTGGCAGAAATGCAGGCCTCCAGGACCAAGTCATAAAAGCTCGGGAAATTATAACTCAGCAATATATCGAAATTACTGATGAGCAACAAATTAGAGAGAATGACCATGATCTAACGGGTGATTTGAAGAAATCACTACCTGATCTTAAAAGACAAAAGGACATTGACAAAGAGGAGACTCCAAGATCATTACAAACACTAAGACTAAAAATTCATGCACAAGAACGAAGGCCAGTGGAGGCACCAACGGGACAGCGTGTAGAGCTAGAGGCTCTGGTGGGAGAACCGGAGGAAGTGGAGTATCCTGCGGAAGATTATCAACAACAAAGTCGTAATACTGGAGAGTCGGAAGATATGGAGTCCTGTGCAGATCAGGAGGCTGCAGACCAGGAGGCTACCTCCGTCTTTAGGGCTCCTTTCAACATGCCTTGGTGGTGTCACTATGCTAAATGTGTGCTGAAAGTAGGATTGCCTATTTGTAGCATCACATTTGTGGCAAGACGAATGGGAAAGTTACTTATTCCTACAGCATGCATGCAAATGGCTGCTGACCCCAGCTTTGCCCAAGTGCTGCAAGATTTCCTCTGTCAGGCCCACCAAATCCCCGTTCCCTTTTAAATGAAATGGCTACTTGCTAGGACTCAAGACACAAGTCCAGTCCACTCCTTTATTTTCTGAAGGTTCTTCACACTTTGCTGATGACAAAATAATTTCTGAGCGTTTAAACCATGAGGGACACACCCTGAATTATGGACAATGAATAGAGAAGGAAATAAATAATTTTGGGCTATGGATGAAATGAAATCCCTAATGTAGGCAAACATAATAGACAACTACCAGCATCCTCCACTGGATCTGACAATTATCTACTTTGGTTTAAATTAATTGTATATTTTTCTAATTTTTTTACTCATATTTATTCTGTTATACTAGATAGTCACATGTAAATAATATGACACTGACTATGATTAAACTGAATGTTTTCAGGTGAAAATATTTTGCTTGTCTCTGAAATGACGTAGAAGTTTTTGAAGAATGGAAACACAAGCAAAAGAAGTCAGCTTAAGATTTATTTAGTTATCTTTGGCAGGGTTTTTGGTAGAAAGAGCAGATCTTTATGATGCAAAGCTGACATGTTCAAATCGACCACGTGTGGGTTGTAAAGGTAACTGAAAACAACCATATCTTCTCCCACGTACTTGTATGGGAATGTTGAAGTGAAGGATGTTCACATACTAAGTATGTATGCAAAAGTTTCTGTTAACTGAAATAAAAAAATGTTGTTGTAATACTGGTCCTAATAAAATCATCATCTTCAACTATACGCAACAGGACGTTTATTTGTGGTCTGGCTGCTGAACGCTGTAGTTTTATCGCAACGCTTACGTCATCATTGTTCGCCGTCGCCTAATGACGTAGTCTACTGTTTGCTGTCGAATTCCCGTAACGTCCCCCCAAACACTATCATTTTGACTTTCGATTTAACAGCTTCTTGTCGCCCGGTCGTCCTCTTTCCCAATGTGAACGAAACACACTGGCCAGGAAAAGTCGAGGGCAACGGTTCAGTTAATATTCGGGTTCACCCAGGGTTATGGCTGACGAGAGGGGCGGAGACGAAGACATTAACGACAACATGGGGAACCAGCTACAAGTTTTACCAGGTAACTGTTTACCAGCAGCACATGCAGACAGCGGTTTATGTCTGGTGTCCACAGTCAGCTCACGCTGTCAAAGTTATTCATTCAGGCTGACGATTTAGCCTATTATTTTTAGTTTCGGTTTTTATATGTTTATGACCGACAGTGACTTGCTAAAAACTGCCACTGTTCTTCGGATGAGGTGACGCCTCTGTGTGTTTGTGTGTAATGTCAGGTGATGAGGAAGAGGAGGTGGAGGAAGACGACATGGAGACGGAGGATCGAGACGATGAAGAGACAGAGAAGCCCAACATCACATTTGACCCCAGCCTTCCCACATCACATGCCGTGAGTGTTGACACATGCGCAGCTTGATATTCACGATCATTGTGGTTAGTAGTTTTACACACTACTCTACTAGTATTATAACTGACTGACTAACTGATTTACACACTACTCTACTAGTATTATAATCTGTCCTGACCTGTTAGTTAAGGTCTCAAAAGCAGAACTGTGGATTACAAAGCATTCACATTCATTTTCACAAACCCTGACAGTAATACAGCCATTTCCCCCCAAACTGGTTTTAGGTCACATCACATATCTCCTGTCTCGGAATTAACACGTTACCTACTTTTATTGTGATGCCCCATTGGAGGCAGTCAAAAAAATGACCATTGTCTGTGTCGTCTGTGTCACCGGTACCTTCAGTATTTGGGTTCAGAAATGGAGGAGTTCCACGGTCGAACAGTCCATGACGATGACAGCTGTCAGACCATTCCGGTGCTGCCGCACACGACTGTGATGCTGGTGCCGGGTCAGACACTTCCTCTGCAGCTCTTCCGGCCACAGGAGGTCAGCATGATGAGGAGTGTTATCCAGAGGGACCGTACATTTGCTGTGTTGGCACACAGGTCGGTACAGCTGCTGCAGAAACATCTCTTTCATTTGCCTTAGATCCTAATCACAACACAGATTTTTTTTTAACATTTCTAAATATCTGCAGTGATCCAGGGGAGCCAGAGACAGGGTTTGGGACAACGGCTGAAATCTATGCATACCGGGAGGAGCAGGAGTACGGCATTGAGTCAGTCAAAGTGAAGGCTGTGGGGAGGCAGAGGTTCAAGGTCCATGAAATAAGAACTCAAGCAGATGGGTGAGTCAAAATGAGTCTTTACCCCTGATCAGGTGGTTGTGTAAGACTGAAAAGTAAATGACATACCTGAGGAGCCGGTTTGGAATTAATCATCTTATGGTTTGGTTATTAGGAGACACACACTGTATATTTACGTTCATGAACAAAAGACTCACCCCATGAAGTCTCCTTTAGGAGGTCGTAACAATCATATGTTTATCATATGTTCTCACTATTAAAAATAATTTCAAATAATGTATTTGTGTGCAGTTTTGCAGACCATTAAAAAATGTCCTAGATATGAATGATTTACTGCAAAATTAGTCTCCCAATAAATAGATGTTTTTTTAACCTTATCCATTTATTTATTTGTTGTTCTGAAGGTTGTACCAACTTGTCAAACCAGTTATTGTTGTTACTCAGATCTCACTTGTTAGTCTAGCTTAACATTCAATATTAATGAGATGATTTGAGGTTTTTAAAAATGAAAAATCCCAGATATTTCATGGAGCCATTTATTGTGTTCAGGATGTTTTGAAAAGGTTGTTGTTGTTGTTCTTGTTATTTACCGCTAGAGGGCAGACTAACGTTTCCTGAGAACCAGATCCAGCATTGGCGGTAGCACAATGAATGTATTCATGTTAAGTTTTGCAGACCTTAAAAATGTCCTAGATAAATGATTTACTGCAAAATTAGTCTCCCAATAAATAGATGTTTTTTTAACCTTATCCATTTATTTATTTGTTGTTCTGAAGGTTGTACCAACTTGTCAAACCAGTTATTGTTGTTACTCAGATCTCACTTGTTAGTCTAGCTTAACATTCAATATTAATGAGAGGATTTGAGGTTTTTAAAAATGAAAAATCCCAGATATTTCATGGAGCCATTTATTGTGTTCAGGATGTTTTGAAAAGGTTGTTGTTGTTGTTCTTGTTATTTACCGCTAGAGGGCAGACTAACGTTTCCTGAGAACCAGATCCAGCATTGGAGGTAGCACAATGGTGACTGTCTTTATAGGTTTAAGACGTTCGGTCCTTGGCATCACAGATTTTCATGCTTTAACGACACAGGGAGAAACTGAATTTGACTTACAGTAAATGTGTCAAATGAGGTGAGGATTACAACAACAACCTGTTGTTATTTAAATATTTAAG